TTTTTTTTTTTTTTTTTTTTGAGAGCTGGGGTTCTACAGGTGAGGAAAAGTCCTTTCCCCCGAGGATCCTACTGCTGCATTTTGCTGCTGGGGAAAACTCTACACATCCACCTAAGGGAGCAGTGATAATGAAACCTATTTCTGTCGGATAGTGGTTCCCTTTCTTTTCAAAGAGGAAACCTGAGAGAATTTCAGAGCACCTGAATGAATGTCAGGTTTCCTTCCTTCAACTTTAAAACTTGCATAAATTTTGCTTTGATATTGTATACTGTTGATTTTTTTAAATTTTGTTCACAGAAGATGAATTTACATAATGAGAATTGCCAGATCAAAAGTAGTTGAGCTGGTGATTCAATCCATTCTGATGACTAGATTAGGATGTGTACTAAAATCCATCACAAAGATTAATTAAAATTAAAAATGATTGGAGTGAAATACAGATTGCTCATGTTGTTTCTCCGGCTTCCAGCCCTGAACATGTGGCAGATCCTGTTTTTTTCCTCAGAATGATCTCTTTGGTTCCTCTACTTCCTCCCTATTCCCAGCCCTTGAAAGAAACCTTTGCGAGGCACAGTGAAACACAAACCCTATATTTTTAAAATGTGGTGTAGGAGACCAAATCACTTTATAGTGGGAGGTGTTTTTGCAAGTTGGAATAATTTGGATAACCAGATTCTGAAAATGTTTAGAAATACACATTTGAAGGAGTTTTGTTAATTTTGTGAAAAGTTCTGTTTTAAAGAGAGATCTGGAGCTAAGAGTTCCTCTACTTAGCAGAGTGTAAGGTCATAAATTTCAAGAAAGTAACGTTTTTATCTTATTGTTATTATTATCCTAACTTTGTCTGTTGAAATGCTTTTTTCATTTGTTCAATAAAAAAACCTGAACTGTAGAAGTGCTCCATTTTCTCCACATTTCTGTTTGTGCTTAACTTTTTGATTTGCCACTTCAAGGGGGAGAAGAATTAAAATTTCTTGAACACCTTCTATGGACAAGCATGCACTGTAGCAGAAAGCTTATCTACATTTATTCATTAGTTCTCCACACAGTCCTGTGAAATAGGTGTTATTGTAATTATTTTATGTATGAGGAAACTGCTGTGAAGAGGTTAACCAACTTGCCTGAGGTCTTACTTCATATAGGAGAGAGCTAGGATTTGTACCCTATCAGACTCCAGAATTGACACCTTTGTCATGGTGTGGAAGTTGACAACAGAAATCCAATGCGCACACTCCTACACGACCAGGCTTGACTCTTGGAGAGAATTCAACATCACTGTCAACAATGTGCTGAACTCCTACCATTTTATCTGTTTCCCACCACTGCAAATGCTGTTATCTCCTTTTCCATGACATCATTCAACTATCTACCTACCTATCTATATGACTTCCTCACCTGCAAAGAAATTCTCAGATATGCTTAGTTATTACTCTTTTTATTATTTTTAATTGTTTAAGGGGAAAAAAATGACTGAATTTCTTCATTTTCTTATACCACTAGGGGTAATTAATATGACCTATCCCTTCTTTCATGGAATTGAAAGGGTTACTGGATCAAGATTCTGTTTCACATGCATATGTTGCTTTTCAAGTAAATCTCACTTTAAGCAAAGGTGTTAGAAGAAACAGTAGCTGGCAGGGACACTTGTAAACTTAATTAATTGCTTGCTTGCTTGTCATAATCAAGCTTCAGCATGTGCTGCATATAAAAGACCCTCTTTTCACTAAATGAATGGGGCCAAGTTTGTCTTAAGTTGTCAAAACTTTAGTTTACCGGGCTGTAGATTTTCTATATCCTGGTTTCTTAAAAAAAAAAAAAAGGAAAATTCAAGGGTTCAGCGGTACTATTTATAATAGTTAATAGCAAACTGAACTTACTCTTGGTGATTATCATTTAGTTGCAGGCCTTGGCCTCTGAACTGAAAACTGGTTTCACAGAAGCAATGCAAGAACTGTCCAGAATTCAACATGGCGAGTATGCTTTGGAAGAGAAGGTTAAGAGTTGCCGATGTTCCATGGAAGAAAAAGTTACTGAGATGAAGAATTCGTTAAACTATTTCAAGGTAGGCCCCTCTTCTATTTCCCTGCTAAACAGAAGTTCTTGGTCTTAGTCACAGAAGTAGAAAATACCTTTTCATGTAGCAGGCAAATATAAGAATTTTTCCTCCTGGTCTATTCATTAATTATCAGGCAAAAAATATCTATTTCATGCTTTTCTTTCTTGTATCTCTGTGTTAAAATTATAGGCCACAGTAGAAGTAAGATGCTCATCTCTCATTCATTCATTCAACAAATATGTATTAAAATATGTATTATATACCACGTTATATCCTTTTATCTCTTTTACTAGATTAAATATGTATCAATTCCTGTTTTTTAGGAAGAGCTGAGCAATGCCATGTCAATGATTCAGGCCATCACTTCCAAACAGGAAGAAATGCAACAGAAAATTGAACAGCTTCAGCAGGAAAAGCGAAGAGAATCTCGGAAAGTTAAAGCCAAGTGAGTGTCTTACAAAAAATTGGTGAAAGGCAAAGCCATAAGCAATGGCTTATCCAGTGGCATCCAGAACACCTTCCCTGCTATCAGTATACAGCTAACTGTCTATATACTGGTGGAATCTGTGGGTCAGCATGTGATGGAGGTTATAGAATCATAGAAGTTGATTGATATTAGGGTGCCTAGGTGGCTCAGTCAGTTAAATGTCCGACTTCAGCTCAGGTCATGATCTTGCAGTTCATGGGTTCGAGCCCCACATCAGGGTCTGTGCTGACAGCTCAGAGCCTGGAGCCTGCTTTGGATTCTGTGTCTCCCTCTCTCTTTCTCTGCCCCTCCCCTGCACATGTTCTCTCTCAAAAATAACTAAACATAAAAAAATTTTTAAAAAAGAAGAAGTTGGTTGATATTAAAGATGGATGTTGATGATTACATGGACTCAATATAATAGGAAGTGGAATGAAAATGATAGAAGATGGTATGTAGAATTTATTTAAACTGTGAAAATGTAAAATAACAAAGATGGATTTTAAAATAATGATTGGTGTGTTAAGATACTGGGGTCACCAGTGATTTTCTTTTTTTATTCATTTTCTAAAATTTCTCTAATGCTACTAGTTTACTTCTACCATTGAAAATTAATAGCTCAACCATTTGAATCAATTAAGCCTCACCATTAAACATATGCGGTAATCATTGTCATGTTTTTAACTTATCACGTTTTAAATAGAAATATGCCAATAATAACTGTGTGACCCTGGAGACTGGCTTATTGTTTTTCGTTGAAGATCTGCTGCTTCCCGGGACCTTTTGTGTTGTTTTGTTAAGAGAATGTACATCATCCCAAGCAGACTGTCGCCATGGCAAACTCTCAAGATCCTGATGACAAGGAAGCCAGTAACAGAAAAATAAAAATATAGGTGGTACGGTTAGGATGTGATTTATACATATTTGAAATCTTTCCCCAGCTTTGGCGATGAAGTAAGTTGAACCCTAAAAATTGCTAATATATGTTTTTAATTTACAAAAACAGCAATTTTATATGGTTCAACCTAATAATTTGGAATTTTTCTTGGATTATTCTGAACTGATTCTCTTCTGAACCCCTCAGTTATTAACACCCTTTGTTTCCCTTCCCCAGGAAAACTCAAAAAGAAGAACATGGCTCACAGGCGGGGCCTGCTCAAGCACAAGGAAGTCCTTTCCGTTCAATCAATATCCCTGAACCTGTTCTTCCAAGTGAAGACTTTACAAACCTTTTGACTTCTCAGGCCTATGAAAAAGGTACATTTTGCAAATCATATTGAAAAAGCCAACCTTTCCCCTGGATTCCTAGAGCTTAAGTAATAGTGAGCATGGGTTTATGTCTTCCATCCTTATCTTATTTAATGCTTATGTATTTATTTTGGGGGGGTGGTGAGGGGCAGAGAGAGGGAGATAGAATCTCAAGCAGGCTCCGCACTGTCAGTGCAGAGTCCAACACGGGGCTTGAACCCATGAGCTGTGAGATCATGAGCCTGAGTCGAAGCCAAGAGTTGGATATTCAACCGACTGAGCCACCCAGTGCCCCTGTCCTCCATCCTTATTACAGGAAAATGATGTATTGCTCAAAATTTTTCCTCCAATAACTGGAATTTAGAAGAATCCAGAGCATCCTAAGAGACCAGGAGATCTGCCCAATTTGAAAGATTTTCTTTTGTGCTCGCTTCGGCAGCACATATACTGAAAGATTTTCTTTTTGGGGGGCGCTGGATAGCCAGACCTGGTGCTGTCCGTTGGCTGACAGTCACTAGCACATCTCTGATCTGAGGGATGATAGAACAGATGCTAGAAAACTGTTCCTGGGCAGTCCTAAAGAAACTGGCTTTCCATCCAGTTCCATCTATCTGTAACCATGTCCAGTTCCACGTTTGCTACACTTCTGTATGCTCAGCAATGTCCAGCAAAGCACTTCTACACAGGAGAGTGAATGCAGACGTTAACATTGTTTAGAGGAATTGTCCCGTCTGTCTCTCTCTCTGTCTCTCTCTCTCTCTTGATCTCTCGTTTTTGTTTTTGTTTTTTTT